GGAGAAGGATTTCCTGTTTGGGCCTGAGGGAGCTTTGGGTGAGAGAGCGGAAAAACTCTTTCTGGGTTGGGGTTATTTTGGAGAAAAGAATGTCCTTTGTTGTTGGAGAGTTTCCCCAAGGTGCAGATGAAAGCCAAATCTGAGACAGGCAGGCTGGCAGAGAAGCTCCTAGGTTGGCGAGTGGAGGAGATGGGCCATCAGGACAGGTGGGAAGAGTTCTCGGAATCATTCCTAGATCTCTCAGACTTGGGCAGCTGAGCTGTCTTGAGGCACAAATCGAGTGGGTGGTGGCTACTTGGTATGTTCTGTGGGATTCCAGCAAGGACCCTTGTCAACAGTCAGTGGACCATTGATGTCTAGGCTTATTTCTGGACTCGTAACTTCACTGTCTTTTGCTTTCTCTGGGGAAAAGGGTTTGTTGATGGTCTGTCCTCATAGGTGGCAGTAATAGCCCTTTACTCTCTACAAAGTGCTTTTGCACAATTACTTTCTCCACTCCTCACCACTACTACTAGCTTGTGAGAAAAGTAAGTATTACTACCCCCATTTCACAGACGAGGAAATGGGCCAGCAGAGGTCAAGTGACCTGCCCTGATTAACAGCAGAGCTGGGACTGAAGCCCAGGTTTCTCAGATGCCAGAGCCTTTGCTCTTTCTACTCCATCCCAGATTCTCCTAACTAGCACTTGGACAGCCCTTTGTGGTTCTACAAGGGTTTTAACAGACACCGCCTCCTTTGTTTAGCCACTTTAATTTCAAAAAAATTAAAGCGAGTTGTTTTCAACTGTTGGGAACTTCTTTAACAGTAAAAGAGGAGAACAAGAAAAATTTTGATCATTATCAGATGCCAACCAAGCCCAGGAACTCAGGCAAGGACCAATGGGGAAAATGAAAGATGAAAGCAAAGATCAGAGGGGCAAGATATTTGATGCATGAGGTAAGAGAACACTAATGGGAGTGTAAGATGGGAGCACCATGGAGGAACTACTTAGCTCTGCTAAAATAAGACATGGTGTAGAAAATCCCGAAACATCGACCAAGTGAACCTAAATAAAAGCCTCAGCCTAGGTCCAAATGTGGTTGGTGCCTTGTGGTATACCTCCCCTCTGAGCAGAATGCCCTAGGGTCTGCAGAGAGACTTGGGGGTGCTGGCTGATGAAAGCCATTCCCGAGGGAGTGAGGACAGGAGCCAAGGGCTGTGAGCTGGCAGTTCTCAATAACATCAGCGAGGAGCGACCCTTTCCAGAGTTGTGGGATCCTGAAAGGAAAAAGGACGTCCGCCTTCACTCCCTGACCAGAGGTGCTTGGTAAAAAGGATCTTAAAGAAATGTTTGATGAAGTATTTGTTGACCAAAGCTATAAGGATTAGAGACGAATCTTTCAAAAGTGATTATATCTTGTCATTTTCTCCTAATTGTTGTCTCTGGTTTGGAGTAAAGTGGGGAAGAAGAAAAGTGGCATTCTTTCCAAAGTCTGCAATCATTGTCTCAGAACAGACTCAGTTTTGTCCAGACAAGATTGCTTTCACCATTTCCTGTGCTACCTAGTAACCTCTGTTTCCCTGGGGCTCAGAATGCTACTGATCAGTAATGGGGATCTCATAACTTAAACCCCAGAATTTTAACAGAAACACACACACTCCTGTGTGCACACACAAATAGAGACAGTACCCAAATTTATTGTAAAATCAGAATTACTGATTTAAAACATAACCAGACCATTATTTGGGACCATCTCTTTTGCTCCTTCCCTGTCCAACTCTTCACTTCACCTCCCTTTAACCCCTAATCTTATCTTGTTGGCCCATCCATTTTCTCTATATCTTCTACTTTTGACTCTCCTCTCTGTGAGTTTTCGGTGCTCATTCAATCTTCCTCTCATGTTTCTTCTGTGTTTCTTTCTCTATTATAGTCAACTTCCTTTCAAAGATTATCCTGGTCCCCCAGACTTGCTGAACACACACAAAACAACTTTTATAGATAGAGTTTTCATTGTGTGATTGTTTCTCTATGGTTAGGCTTAATTTATTTGCATAGAAGAATTGGTTTCATTTTGCAAGAGCTGGAGGGTGTGTTTTATTTATTTATTTATTTATTTATTTATTTACTTATTTGGTGGATATTATTGAGATTTTATTGATGACCTTTCATTTTTAAGAAAAGAAATCTATGAAAACAAAGTAATGACAATGATAAAGCATTGAACCTAGAAACACTCTAGTTGGCTAACAAGTTATAGAAATACTATTTATCTTCTTACCTCTTTAATTCAATACAAATAATTAATGCATTATTTGTTTAAGTAATCACTACATCAGGAATCAGGATTGGCCATGTGTTAACTATACAGTTGGGAAAGATATGTGGAAGTATTTTGTTGTTGTTCTGAGAAAGTACACAATGAACCACTGACCCATTATGATGCATTAGATAAACCATGCTATAGTACCCAAAGTATTAACAACCAAGTATAAGTATGTATTCTGATAAAGATGGATAATGACTAACCATTGGTTAGTTGTACCTCTTTTTATTATGGAGGGTGGGTTTTTTTTAATTGACAGAAAGCCTAGAGAACATGATTTCTGGGACTTTCTCAGGGATGAAATTTCTTCTTAGAATTCTGGTGAAGAGGTAAGAGCATTTCTGAGCACTCTTCCTTTGTAAAGCGAGCCAACCCTTAGAATGGCCAAGATCTCAGCTCTTTCCCACAAATGAGAGAGGCTGACAAACATTTCCCTGGTTGTCTGTGAGCTGCATCATAATTACTGAGGTTTGTAGCTCTTCAAACCTCCTGGAAATGTAAACAGTAACCCACTCCAAGGAAGAGAGCAACAGAACTGTGTCAAAACTTGCTATAAGGGAGTTTCCCCTGCCAACACCCCAATATGGTTGCCTGTGCCACTGCCAAAGCCTGCCCACACATTTTTATCACTTGAGAGTAAGCTTCTGCTCTCTGTTAATGTAGAGTAAATGTGTACCAGAAACAAGACACATTGATTTTGCAAACAGCTCTTGATTATCCATACAAATGGAGAAGGTGTCAATGACATGGAAAATGGAAAAAATGTTTGTCCCACACCTTGACCCATGTGGCACTCAAAAGATACAAATCACAGTCCTCTTTGGGAGCTAATGAGCAGTAGTGATTTCCTTTAGCAATGCTTTGGTCCTGTTGGGAGCAGGACTCCCTTCCTAGACAAGATTAGTTTTAACCTTTGAAGGGCTACACGCACCACCATGTTAAAATGGTATTCAATTCTTTGCATTGTTTTGTTTGTAAAAAAATAACCACTATATTCTGCTTGGTCTTTCATGGTTTCTGTTCACTGCTAGGGTTTTTCCTCCAGCCTGCAGGGCTGATGAGAAATAAATACACTTCATGTCTGCATGGGAACTCCTTCACAAGGTTGGAATCTACCAGAACCTCACAACTTTTACAAACCCTTTGTGATTCATTTTTGTCACAGCAAGAGCAGTAGCCTGTTCAGCCTTGTCAGTTTGACATTGTACATTTTGGGTCTTTTTTTTTTCTTTTTCTTTTTTGTTTTAAAAAAAATCACATAAACAATTTTGACTTTTCTATAGGTTTGAATTTTTCAAAATAAGTTGGGGAGAAATGACACAAGTAATACATATTAGTTGTAAAAACTTTGGCTGTATAACAGAAAGTGAAGAGCCCCCATTTACCTCCTAATACTATTCCCCTCCCAAGAGATAACCACAGTTAAGTTTGTTGTGAATCTTTCCAGATTAATTTCTTTTCATTTAAAAACATACATACATACATAATTGTTTGGGTCTTTATTCTTACATAAATTTGGATCATGCTATATTAACATGGTGGCTTTCTTTTTATTTTTTTATTTTTTTTATTTTGGAAAGAATGTATTCTGAGTCAATCCATGGTGTATCTCCCAGATATTTTCATGTTTCCATGTAGTGATTTGTTAGATGTGGTGGCTTACTTTTTAAAGACTTATTTCTTTAGAGCAGTTTTAGGTTTACAACAAAATTGAGAAGAAGATACGGAAATTTCCCGTATACCCCCTGCCCCAAACATGCATAGCCTATTATCAACATCCCCAACCACAGTGGTACATTTGTTACCAAGGATGAACCTATATTGCCCCATCATAATCACCCAAAGTTCATAGTTTACCATATGGTTCCCCTCTTGGTGTTGTACATTCTAGGATTTGGATAAATGTATAACGACATATCCATCATTCTAAAATCATATAGAGTATTTTTATTCCCCTAAAAATCCTCTATGCTCCAGCTACTAATCCCTCCCCCAACCTCAACCCTTGGCAACCACTGATCTTTGTCTCTATAGTTTTGCTGGTGGCTTGTTTTTGTTTTTTGTTCTGTTTTGTTTTTAAATAAATATATCTTTATTGATTTCAGAGAGAGGAAGGGAGAGGGAGAGATAGGAACATCAATGATGAGAGAGAATCATTGATTGGCTGCCTCCTGCACGCCCCCTACTGGGGATCGAGCCTGCAACACTGGCATGTGCCCTGACTGGGAATCGAACTGTGACCTCCTGGTTCATGGGTTGTCACTCAACCACTGAGCCATGCAGGCAGGCTTGTTTTTGTTTTTTATTTAACAATATATCCTGGACAACTTTTTGGTTACTAAATTGTTTATCAATTGCTGCATGGTATTCTGTAGTATGGATGTAAAAGTTTAACCATTTTCCTAGTGATGAACGTTAATGTTTCTAATGTGCGGTTTTCTACAGAACCCAACTCTCCCGGCACTGAACTGTTCTGTTGAGAATGCCCATCCAACTGTTTCTTATTATGCTCGTCCTCAAGTGGCATCCTACAATACCTACTACCATAGCCCTCCTCACCTGCCACCATATTCTGCTTATGACTTTCAGGTATGTTTTGAGAAGAAAAGAACTCTCTATTACCCTTGCTCTATTAACTCATGCTCTCTTGTTCTTTCCCTAATCATGGAACCTCCCTAACATGTATGAGGTAGCCTCCCTAACATCTCTGTCCCTGATGGCTTTTAGCAGCCTGTGGGTACCAGTGACTAGCATAAGGACTATGTAGGCATGCAAACAGGATAGATGGGAAGGGTGAAAAAGAGGAGAAGAAACAGAAAGATGGAAAAATAGAGGAAAGAAATAGGATCAAGGTGTTTCAAATTGCCTTGACCTACACCAAGGAGAAGATGGTACTCATTAGTACCTCCCATGGACAGCTGTCCAACAGTGGCTTTTTCTATTTTTCTGCCACAGGGAGAGGCCTAGTCCTGCTCCTTAGCACAAGGACATTCTGAGCCACACAAAAGTTTGAATCAAATCTGTCATAATCCCTTCTTTTTTTCCAGACTTCCTAACTAAGACTACACAGAGAAGATATTTTCTATAACACCCTCTCCCCTTTGTTGTCCTGTTATCAAATGGGTCAGGAACAGTGTTACCAAATCTGCACTTTTCCTATTTCAGTTTGAGTTGAGACTAAGCACAGAAAAACAGAACCAAAAAAGGCACTTAATTAAAAGGGATTCACTGTGTGCAGAGCACTTTGGGAAAACAAATGAAATGATCCTATAGGCATTTTCAGTGTTGGTAAACCCTTGGCCACAGAAAAGTGGAATCACACTAAAATGTGGTTAATTCAAAATTTGGGAACCAAAGGCAATACCTTTGAAGGAAGGGAGGCTCAGAATGAATTTCTATTGACTAAGAGCCCATAAGTGCTCCAATGGGGACATAAAAGCAAGAGTGTTTGGGGGTGCTTCCCATTAAACAGCAAATTTAGAAATGCAAAGCCCTTGAGCAACCTAATTTAAGCTTCAGATTAACAAAATAATTGAAACTAGAAAACCCCATATAGTTGAATAAAGTTTTTTGGTTTTTGTTTTTGGTTTAGATACTGTTTGGGGAGGTCTAGGACTCTGCATTGCAATAGTCATACAGTTAACCCTTGAACAACACAGATTGGAACTGCACAGGTCCACATATACATGGATTTTTTTCAATAAATACAGTCAGCCCTCTGTATCCCAGGAGTTTGCATCTGCAGATTCAACCAACCGCAGGTGGAAAACAGAATTTTCTGACTGCGGTTGGGAATCCACGGATGTGGACTGCCAACTGTCTGCATTGTCCTGTGCCATTTTATATAAGGGTTTGAGTATCTGGGGGTTTTGGTATTCATAGGGGGTCCTGGAACCAATCTCCCATGGATATCAAGGGACAACTGGACATATAGTGTGAACATGGACTTGTTCACTGTTATAAAGTACAATGCCAGAACAAGGAGGTGTCCATTAAAACTTGGATAACAATGTTAGAACTTGTTTTAAAGCCTATGTATTCACAGGTAAACAATTCAGGGAGCTTGTTACCCAAATAGATGATGTAGACTGGAAAACAAGATATGTTCAAAAAGTGCATAGATAATTTCAGTAGCAACAGAGGCAAAAAAAAAAAAAAA